GTCTACGCTCCGGTTGTCACCCAGCCTCGGGATGCCCCTGGTAGCATATATTATACTGTTTGAAAATGCATTTTAATGTGTATGTAAACCCTAACACTGAACTTCTTTTATTTGATCCCTTTAATCTGTTAAAATACCAGTGAAAGTATTTTGTTCAATAGATTGATAGTCAGTGTGAGAATTACTCCTTTACAATAGTGTTAATTTGGGGACGGGCCCCATTACTCTGGTAGTCACTGTAGAGAAGGCTCCTTACATTTGTGGTCAGTGGAAAGAATATTCCTTAGTTACATGGTCAGTGGGAAAAATACTCCCCATACAAATAGCTAAAAAGATAATTTGGGTTAGTGGCTACTTGTCTCAGAATCAGAAATTGCTCCTTGCTAAAGGAACCCCTAGCAACCTCTAGAGAAACACTAGGATTCCACGGAACCCTGATTGAGAAAGTCTAGTCTAGGCACTTGAATCGCTGGAACAAGTTTCACTTACAGTAAAATGGTTTGTGTTGCTTCTAGCCCTATTTTATTTTTCCCACACTATGCTGGGGAAATCTAGTTGCTTTGGTCAAAGCATATATGTATTCCTTATTTATTTAACAAATTACAGCTGGGGGTTTGAGCAAAGGGTCTGAGATGATGGTACATGCTGTACATATAGTTACCATTTTTTGATAAGGTGGCCTTTTAGGGCACATTCATACCTCATTCAGTGCATTCAGGCACGGTTAGTGCCCTGAATACACTGGATCACATAAACATAGCCTCCCACGTTCTGGGGCAGGAGGGGGCGTGGTGCCATTCATGTCAATGGCACCGCAGACACGCCTCCTACGAGCATGGTTGGAGGAATCCCTCACTCTTTGCTTTGTATTCTGACAGCAGCCGCCAGCCGCTGTCAGAATACACAAATGGTGCGTGCAGCTGGCTGGCTGCAACAGGGCCGGCCTTAGGCCTTGAGGCGCCCTGTGCGAGAAAGCTTCACAGCGCCCATAAGTGACCACACACCTTAGTGGCCACACCCTCTGTGGCCACACCATTTAAAGACTCCAATTTTGTTAAGTCGCAAAGAAACATATTAAAAAGTATGATAAAAATAAAACTTTTATTCAAAGGTATTAAACTTGTAGGCACAATATAAGTATTCTTATCAAATAAAACAACAGAAGGCAAACAATAAATGTCAAACTAAAATAGAGTCTATAAAAATAAAGTGTCAGGTTGTCATGCCGACACCATTTTTTCAAGTCAGTATATCTTGAAAAGTAAAAATAAAAAACAGAACACAAAACCTAGACTACATGTAAAATTAATGAATTACTATATGACGAAAAATGTATTCAGGGGCATAATAGTTTGCTTGAGCATGTGCAGCGGCCATGTTGGCCACCGGCGTGTTCTGTGCCACCATCTTGGAGTCGGGGAGCATGACGTTACATGACGCCATGCATGCGTGGCGTCAGGTGACGCCACACGCAGATATTGGCCCCACCATCTTGGTGTATACCTAGATATACACCAAGACGGCAGCGCCCAACACGTGCAGTGTTATATGATGTCATGTGCCCCGCCTCCAGAACACGCCAATGGCTGAATCCAAAATTGCATAAAAAATTGTTTTGTTTGATGAAACAAATGAAACGTTTCGTTCATTTCATCTGAAATTAATGTTTAGTCTTCGCACATGTCTATTAATATGTGTGTGTGTGTGGGGG